TATGAGCATAATTTAAACTGTTTTTCATGAAACAAAAGTATTTTGTCACCATAAAATTTCTGTTCTTAAATCGAGAAACCTTTTTTCAATATGCCTATTACCTAAGTGACGTGATCAGGAACCTGTGGATGTTAACTATGTGGTGATTACCGTAACTCTAACATTATACATAGTGGACCCTAGTTAGCGCTCTTTTACCTTTGTTATGAGAAATGTTAAATTTATCAAGCGGTAGACCACTTTAGGTTTCTTCTCCAGGCAGGGTCCACTTGGAACGTTCCATACCACCATTCGATATAAATTCTCGTCTTTTCAAGCTCCGAGCAAGCATTGATGAAGCTCCTCACCTCAAGAACGCCTTGAATGGTAGTGGGGAGCACTAGTAGCCATAGGCACACCCCTGCCCCCCCCACCACACCGCCCCCCTGGAAAGGCAGCGCAAACATTCGAAACGTCACCAATATGTTAGCCTAGACCCATCTGTCGAAAGCCATTGTGTTGAGTGTTCATAAATGGAAGTTTCATTAAAATAATGTTTCTAGCCGTGTGTTCAAATGGTAAACATTTATTCAGCTTTTTTTATTTCCCAGGTCACTGAAAGGAACCGTTCGGGAGTTAGTGGATATGTAACCAAACTGATGCCACCACTCGATATCGGTGAGTTGGGGTGGCGTGTCACCGGAAGTGACGTGCACTTGATAGAAACTATGTGGATAAGCTGCTTCCAACATACATCGCTGGCTATCAGCAAAGCATGCTGGCAACAGCTTATCCACGCACTTCTATCAAGTGCACGTCACTTCCGGTGACACACCCACCCCAACTTTCGGATATCGACTCTATGTTGCTATAACTGGATGACTATAACTATCGGTTCTCCTTAGTTTGTAATATGAACGTTTGTCTTGGTTTCGAAAGAGCCTGCGGCAGGTCAGCGCGAGTTTCCCGCCTTTCCCAATGCTTTTTAGCTGCGGACGAAGGCGACGTCAATCGACCTAGTGGCCAACTATAGACTGGCCGTTTAGAAGACCTTACTACCGTCCCAGGAGCTCTAGGTCTAGGAATAAGTGAGAAAAACTTCGTGGTGCATTAGCGTTTCTCTTCCTGGGTCAGGTCCCCTGAAATTGAGACGCCATTCATTACCTCGGAGCAAGCTCGGTTTTAGTGGGGGGTCGTTTCACAGTTGGGTTTTCCTACGACGCGATTTTCCCCGGCGTGCGGGCGTTCTCCGCTGAGAATGGTCTGTTCACACCGAGCCATTCCTGTTAAGACGTTTAAGGATAATCAGTTTATTTTCACGGCTCCTATGAAAGAATTGCCTTTTATGAGGCTTCGGACGCCTTTGAGTCTTTTTTTTTTACTATTTAGGACAACTGCCGTTTTTCTTTTACCACGTACCACAGCTAGGTGTGCTCAATATGGCTCGTCCTTCCGACCAAATATTCCACACTCCAATCGACATATCGTTTGCAAAAAAATTTAGATTGCTTAACCTTGGGCGATATCTCGATGTGGTAGTATGGCACACTGCATTCATTCCATCATACACCAGCTCAAGATCCAATGCTGCTTTAAAGGTCATTCCTTTCTTGCTTCCGAGCTTAAAATCAAGGCATGCATGGCTCCTAGGCGAGCCATAGCCCCTGTGAAAGTGGATGTAGAAACGTTTGTTTCTGTAAAGTTTGCTGAAGAAAATGATAAGCATAAAAAATGGACGGCTTCCCCATGTGTACACTGGACCTCAACCCTCATGACGATGTGACTCAGCAGACCTAAAAGAGCCTGTGTATGACGGCAAATAATAAGTGCTCCACTGAGCTCGCAGTCAGACGTTGATCCATTTCCGTGTAAAAAAAACTTGAGCCAACCTTTCGAAAGTTCACTGTCCCACCCAGCATGCAGTGGAAATCTCAGTGGAAGCGTCTGGTAAACGAGGGTCTGGATAAGAAGAAGAAAGCAAGAGTATCTCTGTTTACGCCTGGAGTAAGGATCCCCTTCATCAGTCGCGTCCCACCTTGGGACAGAGAAGGAGCTTGAGTGTTGGTTCACGAATTTAGCCAATGCTAATGAAATTGAACCGCTGTGGAAGAGCTGCGGCAACTGCGTCCCGTGCTTTTCAAGCAGCGTCACGTGGCAACCGACAGCGGAGGCGGGGCTTGCGGACGAAGGTGTGGATTGCGGGTCGAGCGAGCTTCCAGCGCCTTTGTCGCGCACTTTCAAGCCGCAAAAGGGGCGCGACATCAACGCTTGTCCGCCTGCCTACTACGCTCGGGTATGGAACAGGTGAGCGTGCCTAATCCCGGAGTGTGCCTTTAAGTAGAGAAATGACGGTCTCCCGACACCGGTAGGAGAACAGGTCATTTTATTGATTATTTAGAACGTGCTGATTCATGGAAGCCGCCGTATAACATGTTTATTAGCTCTGTAACACTTATTTGGTGAGCAAAACGGATATCACAGCGAGTGCACACTTAAAGCCATTATTTGACTAGGAGTTTGGGAAGTAAAATATAGTAAAGCAGCCAAACTTAAATAAATCACGATGAAGACGGTAAAGGTGTGTAATCAGCAGTGCAGCCGGTAGAATTTGCGATAGCTGTGATGTTCGGAATGTGCGGCTCACACACTTCCTCGAATGTCCACTCCCTTCTGTAATGATGTGGATTCTTCACACATTACTATACCCAATTTTCAACATCTTATTGATTTCCAAGAATTTCATTGCAAAAACGTTGAATCAAGGTTTTCGTTAGACAAACTGTTAACTCACGTCTCGTTGTAGTCTTTAGTCCATTCTCCGTAACGGCCTCTGCTGACATCCCTAACCAAACTGAAATAGTGTGACTAATTCCAGTAATAAGTCGATGGCTGCATCACTGGGTGCAAAAGTAGGCAGGAGAGTGCCGATTTCTGGGCACGGTCGACGCGCAATGTGGCTCGTCACGACGTAATGGGAAAGCCGATGTAGGATTGAGATCCGGAGTGTGCGAAATGTTTTTATTTCCTCAAATCCCCTCCCCTCAATTTTCCTCATTAGGCCGACGTCATAGTTTGCGAATCGAGCGATTCGCTAGCGAATCGAACTTTGCACCAGCGAATCGAACGTTGCACCAGCGAGTCGAACTATGTACCAGCGACTCAATAGTGGCGGGACCCAACGTTCAAAGGAAGCCCGCCACTTTCAAACAGTGTCCACTGTCAAGTCCCGCCACTTTCAAAAAGGGTCCACTGTCACGTGACACTGTTTGAAAGTGGCGGGCTTCCTTTGAACGTTGGGTCCCGCCACTATTGAGTCGCTGGTACATGTTTGTTATGGCGAAGTACAACACCAGCATAAGCTTTCATTGGATCCCGAATGAGGCGACGCTGCTTGCTTCT